CATTGAAATCTACCTGATGATTTTATATCCATGCTCAGATGCCAAGGATCTCAGAAAGTAACCGACTGTGACTAGTAATAATCGGATACATAGAGATTAGAAACACATATGCAAACATCTAAGTGTTAGTAGCATTAAAAATGAATTTTTCTGCCGGGCGTGGTGGTGCAAAAGCATTGTGTGAAAGGAAGGGTTTGTCTGGGCTCACAGTTTCAGGGTACAGTTCACCATGCTAAGAAAGTTACAGCAGCAAGAGTGTGAGGCAGCTCACGTTGCATCCAGCCAAGAAGCAAAGAAGATGAATACTGGTGCTCAGCTCACTTTCTCCTTTTTATTTAGCCCAGGACCTCAGTCGATGGGATGGTACTACCTACATTTAGGGTTGGTCTTCCAAACTCAAGCCAATCTAGTGACACAGGCATGACCAAAGTTTTGTCTTCTAGGTGATTCTAGATACTGCAAAATCGATGTGTAATTTTTCTTAGGGGAACACGAATAAAAATCCGTAGTACAGATAGGGCACCTACAAGACACTGAAGAAACAATTCCACCCAAGTCTAGTTTGGTGATCCAGTGAGTTTATTGAGGTTACTTACAGGTGTATGGGTGAGGGATCTTACAGGAGCATGGATGACTCAAAGGCTGATCTTAACAAAAAGCCTCTAGTATTGACTCAAGGAACCTGCATTCCTTGATGCTCCTCCCAGAAGCTGTATATTATTAAACAAAAATCCCAGTGTCAGGTGTAGAATATTTCCCTAGAAGATGTTGGTCAGGGAGGCTTCAGAACCACCCAGAACAATACAAGCTATTACTATTACTCATGATTATCCACCAGAACTTGATGGTAAGACCCTATTGCTGAAGACACCACACACTTTGGGCCCTAAGTGAATCATCTATATCACCCCCTCATAGGCACAAGGGACATCACAGAAGATGGGGCAGAAAGAATGGAAGAGCCAGAGGAAGAGGAGATATGTTGCAAAAAGATGTCTTCTAGGGCCAGTGTGGTAGTACACATCTTTAGTCCCTGCACTCAGGAGACAGAGGCAGGTGATCTGAAATCAAGTCCATTCTGGTCTACAAAGCAAGTTCCAGGCCAGCTGTGGCTACAGGGAGACCCTGTCTCAAAAAAGAAAAACGTCTTCCGGACATGACTTGGCTGTTGCACTAATGGACTCACAGAAGCTGTGGTTACTCAGAAAGAAAAAATTGAGCCTTGTCAGCAATGTCTTCATGGGAAGGGGAAAGGCTCACGAGGCCTGCCCCTTCCTGAGGGGCTACCGACCGTTAATGGTGCCCGGAGAAAGGAGCATTACTTCAGTGGTTAGCCACTGTTCCAGTAAACAGCTTCCCATCCATACTCATGAAAGCAGCCTCAGTTAACCTCCATGGGACACACACACACACACACACTCAAAACCATGAAAAACTAGGAAGACTCAGAAAGGTGAAAAGTTTCAGTGGGAGGAGGGGGAATGAGAGTAATAGGGAGTGAAAACAACTAAAATTAATTATATACATGTACAAAGTTGTCAA